TTCTTTTTTCTCAATTTTATTTAACAAAATAACTTTAAGCGCATAATTAAAAAACGAGGAGTCACGTCTAACTGCAGCCCTGTAAACAAATTAGCGATGTGCTGTAGCCGCTGATTAGCTGACTGGCGAGTCAGCACTATTGACCAATCACAGCGGGCGTCTCATACACGCTTCGGCCGATGCACACAGTATGAAGTACTAGCGGGTAAATTAAAATGTAATATTTATTAATAATTAATTAATTAATATGTAAGTTAAATGTAATATTTATCTGTATGTTAGGTAGCTGAATAATGGCTGTGTGTGGCAATCCAGCCTTCAAGATAATTCTATGTGGAGACTATGGTGTTGGCAAGAGCTCACTGTTTCGACGTTTCACCAGCAACACATTCATAGAGGGCAGTGTGAGAGAATCCGCTCTAGGCTTGGATCATTATGCACAAACGTTTAGCGTCACTTCCAAAGACGATTTCAAGGTATTTGACCACAAACATCGATAGTTGAACCAGCGAAGTTATAATATATCTTAGAAAGATTGATCTGTTATTGACCTTGTAATTACACAATCTATATCTATGTCTATGGATAGTACTGATTCTAATTGCTTTGAATCTCCTTGCATTACAATATATTTCTACATATATTTTAGCAAACTTGGACAACTAGAAATAGAAATTCTTTTGCAGGACCTGTAGCTTTCAACTCATTATTCGTCTCCTCATAATGATACCTATCACTTAAGCAGGCTCATTTAAATTAACCAATCCTTGAACACAGGTGCAGCTTTGGGACACCGGCGGAATGGAGCGTGTTGCCACGGTTACGAGCTCCTACTACAAGTTCTCGGACGCGGCAATCCTGACCTACTCAGCCGAGGACCTCGAGTCTTTCAACAACCTCTCTCAGCACATCCTCGAGATTGTCTCGTACGCCGAGAACGCGAAGATATTTCTGTGCGGAAACAAGGCGGACCTTCACGAATACGTAACGGACTCGCAGATCAACGAATTCAAGGAGCAGTGCCAGGACCTGATCGTGAAGAGCTACAAGGTGTCGTGCAAGTCGGGTGTGCGCGTTCACGAGATGTTCCAGGACGTAGCCGAGACGCTGTCGCGAGAGAATCGCCAGCGCATCGACCCAGACGCTTTCAAAGTGGCGCCACCTGTAGAGCCAAAAAGTAAATGTGGGTGTGGGACGGGGTGAGTAGCCGGGGCGACAAGGAGGAAAGTATATGAGCATCCTTCCTTCGCTGCACCGTCGGAGACTATGCGTGCCGCAGCGAGTTTTTACAGAAATGTAGAAATAGCCAATGTTTGCAGTGATTTTGGAAACGGTTGCACGGTGCTGCCACCTATCGGAGTGTAAAATCGGTTTTTTTCTGTTGGGTGATTCCTGTATTTGTATGTAAAATTAGGTTATACATGCGCATGTGGGATCTCTGCTGAAGTGGTAGTTTGGTTATTTGGGTATAGGTGCCACAAACCGAAAAACTGAATCGAATCTACTAGCCGTGATATAATTACCTTACGTATGTGTATAGTACTATCAGAAGTAGATAATAGGGAAGGAGTGTGACTTCAATAAACAAGGGAAATTCGTCATTTACTAACCTTAGAATACCTACGATTTACTACGCGTAACTCAACCAACTTGAGCTCAAATCGTACACAGTACATTCGCTTAGCACCGTGCGAAATTGTTTCCTCGTATACACACGCAATCCGGAGATATAGACTAAAATGTACGACACGATTCTCCATTCTGTTGGCAGCAAACCGAATCCATAATCCGCCTAACTTGAAACAATAGGCAGCTACTAACGACTCTTGCGCACTCTTGTGCCCTCGGCGATGCGGTGTGGCTCGCTGAGAGATTGGAGCTTGAGCTGCTGCTGATTGCGGTGGGCGTGCGTGCGTGGGGGGGCATACCAGCTGTAAATAGGTCAAAGATTAGCTGGCCGAGTGTTGCGTCGATGTCCAATCTCCCAGCGAGCCACACCGCATCGCCAAGGGCACAAGAGTGCGCAAGAGTCATTAGTAGCTGCCTATTGTTTCAAGTTAGGCGAGTTATACATTCGGTTTGCTGGCAACAGAATGGAGAATCGTGTCGTACATTTTAGTCTGTATCTCCGGATTGCGGGTGTATACGAGGAAACGATTTCGCACGATGCTAGGCGAATGTACTGTGTACGATTTGAGCTCAAGTTGGTTGAGTTACGCATAGTAAATCGTAGGTATTCTAAGGCTAGTAAATGACGAATTTCCCTTGTTTATTAAAGTCACACTCCTTCCCTATTATCTACTTCTGGTACTATGTAGATGTATTACTGCGTTATAGTGCGCACTGATAAGATGTTTATTATAGTTGAAGCTTCATATATATGAACAGTTTACTGGTATTGATTTTATGTTTTTAGATTAACGTAGCTCTAATCAAATGTTTTAACGATTTATGTTGTCATTAATGTTTATGATTCACTACTTAATTAATCAACCAAAAATGACTCAAGTGAGTAACAGCCAAGATTTGTTAGAAATTCGTTGGTATAGTGAGCCCAGCATTGATGCCCTGCATGCCAAAATTCTAACTACTAAGCATATGTAGTTATTTGTATCGTTTGCCAGTTCATCCAGGCAAGTAGCTATAGGTATCCATGTCATCAAGTAACACATACACAGTATATCACTCGATATCACCTTATCACCCGTGTTTATCTAGTTCAGTACAAGTGCAAATTCCTGCAGACCTACTTTACAGGGAAATGTGGGGATTACTTGTAAATGGACCAGCTTTGATAAAATAGAATTTGCATTTGTATTGATTTCAGTACTGTATACGCTTGTATATTTCATGGTGGTTTAATTTTCGCGAATTTCGCGAATGCGTCCCCGACCGCGAAAATAACAACACGCAAATAATTCATACCGAATAATACCGAATAATTCATAATTCACCGACCGCGAAATTAACCACTCGCGAAATTGTCCGTCAAGTCTGAATTCGCTAAACTATCTGTACGCGAAAAACATGGCGTATACAGTATTCGATTTATGCAAGCTTGGCTGTATGGAAGAGGTTTTGTCTGTTCACATGATATTATTAGGTTGTCTCCATTTGTCTTGTAGTTGAGGCAAATTTTAAAGGCAACTAAACAACAGATTACAAGGTACATACTCATGGAAGAGTTCACACAGCAGAATTTATTGCTAGAATTAGATATCCATGGCAAACTTACAAAACGTTAAAGTAGTACTGGTATATGTAAAGGGCTGGCAAATATGTATCAAATGCTCATGCATTGATAACAATTTATGCTGACAAATCAAATGAATGCATTGGGTTGTCGTAAGCGGTGGCTAGAAATGTTATATATATATTTATCTGTTTGAGATTTATTTACGTGTGATGATACGTGTAAAGATGTATGTACAAATCAAAAGCAGTTAGCACTGATGGGTGAATTAGAAAGCTGAAGGGGAGAAGGCAGAAATAAATAGGCAAATTTGGTGTGGGAAAATAAACAGGCAATTAAAACAAATTTTTCGTAAAAGTGGTTAATGTCAGTCTATAGACTATTCTCAGTTAGCCTAAAGGTAGAATTAGTCAGTGGACTTTAATTTCTGAATGGTGCGTATTTTGGGGATTGGGGTGGGTGGTGGCAGTAGGGGTGGGTTAGAAATGTTTTTGCTATCAGTTGCTGCCTTTTAAAAAAAGGCTGGGCTTTCATTAGCTGTAACAGTATTGCTTTTGCCTGCACAAAAGTAGGGATGAATAAAAACGATATGTAAGGGTGGTATGAGTTTCCTAGGCTTGATTAAAGACCTGGGGACCTGGAGACAAGACAGCATTTAATAACAAGAGGTGATGTACATGTCATACACGTATATCATCTGCCGTAGGATGAACAGTTAGTTCCTCAATTCCATGGCATCAAAGGATGTTACATGCTCTGATTTCACCTCCCCTTCCTGTGCCCTCCCTCTCTCTCTCTCTCTCTCTCTCTCTCTCTCTCTCTCCCCCTCCTCTCTCTCTCTCTCTCTCTCTCTCTCTCTCTCTCTCTCTCTCTCTCTCTCTCTCTCTCTCT